GACCCATGGGTCATGGCGGCTAAGCGACTTCACTCCTCTTGAGCTACCCTTCTCGCTCACCTACAGATCCCTAAAACGTCGTATTACTGTACTGGGCGCCCAGCTCTGCTCTCTGCCTGTCTCAGAGCGGGCGGCAGCTAGTGCAAGGAAAAAGCAAATATTAGCTCTGTGACAAACACACATGATGCTGCTATAATTAATGATGTCCAAACGCCAACGGTGAATCTAACCAGCTTACTGCCCCTTGCTGCTGCTAGCATGCAGGTCATTCAATAGTAAAAGGCGGAGGGCGAGAAAAAGCAAGGTGAAGGGAGAGAGGCCCGTGAGCAAGACATGCAGACGAGGCCATCACACACCACATCGCATCATCCCAGCCCACACCATACCGCACGACACGCCTTGGTTTTCCAAGGGCTGTCTTGGGTCTGGCCAGTCTATGTGTTCCAGCTCGGCCGTCATGTGGTCGCGGCTATCCGTTCCTGGCCCATCTGGCTGACACCTGCAAGCCATCCACCCTCCCACTCAAAACCACGCAAAGACGAGAAAAATGCAGGGCCTTTGACGTAGCATTGCGTGTATGCGAGCACCTTTCCAAGACAGAGAGGAGCGGGGAAACAAGTTGGAGAGCTTCGGTCTCGCCCACAAGCGAGACCCTGAGTAATTGATCCAAGACAGGCAATTGGCTCTCTCGATGTTTCGCATCTGGGTTCTCACCCTCTTGTATCCCAATGGAGAGAGCACTGAGCCTTTTATTCTACTCCGAGAGTTGACGGCGTCCCCGGCGGAGGTTACATAGCTCATAGCCATTGTGAAAGATGTTGCATCAAGGGCCATTCCAAATCCCCGCGTTTGCCCACGTTCAACCGTTTCACTGTTCGGTAGTCCGTTATCAGAATCTCGATGCATGTTCCAATCAGGCAGTACTTCCTAGCGCTATCAATATACCAGCTCTAGCCTTGAGCTTCAACTACAAAATCCAGAGGGTGTTGAGGCCATGCTTGGCGAATCACTATACGAGGTCTTCGTTCATCTTGGGTATGTTTGCTGGGTTCGGCAGTGTGCAATCTCCCACCTCGTGGGAATGGCCTCATCCCCTCACCCTGCCCGCTTGCTTTTTGACGCTTGGCGGGGACGTACATATCACCTGCAGGGCTCTCTCACCCCCTCCGCTTCGGAAGTCGAGCATGCTAGCGAAGGCGACGATCCTGCACAGCTCGACCTCCACCACATTCCAAAGACGGCTGCACGGCCGGATCGTATCAAGGAAAGGGACGGCACCTCAACGGGCATCCCAAACAGGCAATTGACCTCACTTGCTATCCAACAGCCTCCAGAGTCCGTTCGATAATGACCAGGACGAGATTGGCCGGCCCATTGCTCCTCTCCACATGGCGCACTTTCGCCTCTCCTTCGGCCCGCAGTAGCGTGTCGTGCTAGCAGCCAAACAGAGGCCGAGGAGAGGTCTTAAAACTGCGATGGCCAGGTTTCACATCTCTCTTGGGGCGGAGGTTACTGCAGGCTGATAGGCGAACCCGAGAAACACGCTGCTGAACAGGAGGGGCACATCGAGGCAGAAACGTCGTGGCAAGCAGCAGCCAATTAATTGCCTCTTCCAATCAGAGGCCACGATCGCCCCGTCACCTCGGTCAAAGGAAGAACGCAATGCAACGATGCCGGGCGACACTGGTTGATCAAATCTTGAATTACCCGGTCAGAGTTGGCACAGCGGCTGGGAGAATGGCACTGTTACTCCTTTGGGCACTTGCACTACTCAAACCGGATTCCCAATCCAAATCAATAAAAACTCGATTCGATTGCGCATACTAGTATAGCATAGCACCACCTCCCTCACCGTTCTCCGCAAAGATTGAAGCCAGTGGTCAGGGGTTCATGCAATCGTTCGGACATTGAGCTCCTGCCCACTGTTCCAAATAGGGCGTGACGGCTGATCAGGAGATCTCAACGAGGAACTCGAAAGGGCACCACTGTCCAAGACCTCCTCAGCCGTAGTCGTCGTCGTCATATCGAGTACCGGTGGTGGCTTGTCCAAGGGTAGCCCCTGTCCCCCCCTTCTGCCAACCATCATATCCCTTTCTCACAAAATCGATATGCGAATCCTCATTTTTGCTCAACTGGCTTCTATACGACCGAGGCTGGGCCTTTGAGGCAAGGGGTGGCGCCAGCTGCCAAGGCAAGAAGCGGGAGAAACACCAGGCCAAGCAATGGATCAGCCGGGGTTTCCGCCAGCTTAACCTCAAGACTCCACCGAAGCCTTTCTGGTCCCTCTCTCTCCCCTATCGTGTGAATAGAGAAGGCCTACAGTAGGTAGGCACCCTCATTTCTGAGACAATACGAGAGATGCAGCGACTGGTTTCCCTGCAAGGCACTTGAGTCGCCCTGTGTCCGTAACCCAAGACAAAACGGGTGAACTCGGGGACGGCTATCTGTCTCGTCTCGCCCGTGGCTTACGGCACATGACATTAAAAGTCCGAGAGACATTCTGATTTTCCTGTTAGCTTGCCTGCCGCGAACGCATGGCATGGTTATCCTTGTCCTCTGTCAAGCAGAGTCATCGAGGGTTATCTGATTGATCGCAACTACTAACGGGCGGGACGATGTATGTAACATCATTTTACTACTGACTGGCCTGCCATGGCTCCTGTCCCACAGGCAAGCCAGCCATTCATCCCTTGCAGGTAGTATGATATAGACCGCAATATAGATGCGAAAACGTGCGCGCGTGCCTGCCGCGATCAATACCTGCCACGATATTGCCACGCCGCACAGAGAGCTTTGCCTCCATCTCATTAGACTCTCTATAGACATGGGCTGGCAATAACGCAGTTGAGTTGATCGTAGGCCAGTACCAGTTGGGGGATCCGGCCGAGCTGCTTCCAACAGCCCGCTAAGACCGCCCGCTAAGACACCAGTAGTTCTGCCCACTAACTCTCCCCCGCCCCCCTCCAAAGCAGAAACAATGGAAGAGGCTGAAACTGCCCATCTCCATCTTCTTTCACCGCCTCCCCTTCCGATAGCCCCCTCAGAAAATACAGGCACCTCAAACCACACTAGGTCGATCGAGGCTCCATCCTCTCCAGACACACGTCCATCTTTCCAACTTGCCCGAACTGGAATAAACACCTCAAGTGCTTATAGCGTCACGTCATCCCAGCTAGGGGGGGCAGTATGCAAGGCACGGCGAGAGGGAGAAAAATTAACGTGAACACGCTGTTAGCTGCTTGCTCAGAACCCCCTTGGTGTGTGCCTTGCTTGGCCGCCCCTTGCTCCAGCGCAGCACACGTGCATGGCATCCGGCCGAGAAGGTGCCTGGGGACGTGCGGCCATTTGGTCGCCGTTGGTCTACGATGGGTCCATGGTGTTGAGGGCCTCTGTGTGTGTAGGTGCTGATATGCACATATGGCAGATAAGCGGCCAGATTTGGAGGGTTGGTAAGCAGCTCGGTTCAGGGCCTCCCGGCACTCTCGATTGACAAAGCTATTGAAAAGATGTGCTGTTCATGCATTGATTCACTGATTATGGCAGACGTGAGGCACAGCGTTGAGCGATGGCCAGGTCATGCCGTTCCCAGACATGAACAATCACTTACTATCCATCAGTAGAGAGAAATGAGTGAGAAACAATGCCTTGCAACAGACTTGAGACACGCATCTTACTTGATTGACAGATAAGGGTCCGGTCCATCCGCTTGATAATGATGGTTTCCAGCACAGGCGATCAACCTCCCATAAAACCGCCAGTCTGAGAGGTTTCCGCAGAGCGGTCAGTAACTGCATGTACCTAAATGATGTACGTGCGTTTGATTGAGGTCATGTCGCGTGCAATGAAGGGCCGCGCTATATCAAAGTCAAGACACGGCTCATGCACGCATGGCGGCAGGCATCGCATCACATGGCGGCCTTGCGGTCTATCAAACAAAACACTCCGAGACTCTAATCTGCCTGTGCAAACCGTCATCTCCAAGTCCAGACCAATCATTCCCCTGCGGCCGTCGGTTTGACAGTTGAGGCATGAGAGGTTCGGCTGAACAAATCGAGTATGGTTGATATCATGGTGAATCCATCAGGAGCTCCCATCTGGCATCGCGCATGAAGGCAAGTACTGTGTCGGTCGATTCTTGGTACCATTGCGACTCACATTGCCTCCAGTCTACCTGCCCAGTACCTCTGGTATTCACATAAGCCGGGACGAATGGCCTCTCTCTCAACCACACCGACTTCGAGCTTCACCAACCATGACCAACATCCTTCCTGTATGAAGGCCAGCGTGAGAAAAAGAAAAGAAAAGGGGGGCCCATGCGGCTACTGACCCCGGCAGTGGTATTTCCTAAAACACTCTCTGGCAGCTCAAGTGCCTGCGGGCGAGCTGCAATGCAGCCACAAAGCAAGTCAGCAGCTTCTCCTCCCATTGCTCAACCTCCAACACCGTCGACGCTCCCTGGGCCTATCATCCAGCGATGCCCTCCACCACCACCTGGCAGTGCAGCGGGCTAGGACCAGCCCTACCTCCAGCACATCCATCTCTCTGGCGACAATCACTCTTCTGCCTCCTCCTGTTGAGCAGGCTGACCACCAACCTTCCCGACACAAGATCCAATCATGAACCTCTTCTCCAACATCTCCATGCGCCCCTCCCGCCTTACAAGTCTGAAACCATAGTCTAACCACCCAACCCTCCCAACTAAACGACTTCACAGATCTGATAGGCCAAGTCATGACTGTCCGCCCTACTCAGTGCCTCAATTGCGCAGATTTCAATTGCTATTTGCCATCTCCTTCTGCACTTGCTGCCCAACCCCCTTCATCGCCAAATAACCGACCAGTTGCAGCAGGATCTCTATGCCTGAGGGGATACACACACTCAGACCTCCTCGACCTCCGCACGCGTGCATCTCGCCATCTCCACGTGCACCACCTCCCGCCCACTCGTCTGTGCCTCTTTCTGTGGGGAGCTGCAGCTTGTAAGCCCAACGGACGGCCGTCTCAGTTCCCGGTCCCATCAGGCTCGACCAACCGGCGCTCCTCCGCATCTCCTCCTACCTTGAGCACTCCACACACCGCTGGAAGACGGTTCTCCATCATGTTCTCTGCCCGCTGGCCCTTTGCCAGGCCCGAGTGGTGCCAGCAAACCACATCCGCCGCCAGCCAGCTTGGCGCACCGTTTGTTCCCTGCCAGCCCTGAACAAATATGCCGAATATGTCGATATTAATCGATTCGGCGCCTCCGTGACGCCCGAACGGCCACGGCTGCAGCTGCAGCTCAGTTGCCTTCTTCCCACGACCAAAGGTCCTTCGCTTGCCCTGCAGAGCCAAGTTTCTCCTCAACTCCAACTTCAGCCAGAGGCTGCTGCGGGCTCTTGTTGGCTTTTTCCCCTGTCATGTTAGGATATGGCCAGACCCAACGGCATGCGGTCAGACCTCGCCATGAGGAAACTCAAACTGCCAATCTCCTCCCGTCGCCGACGCCCCCCCGTTGGGCCGGCAGAGCCAAACGTCCACGTATGACTGTGACCTATCAAGTTTCCAATCCCGTGTTTCAGACGTTCACGACCGCTTCGAGCTTACTCTCTCGCCCGATGACCAACATCCGAGTTCAAACCATTGAAGCGGAATATGCACACGCCGTATCATTCCGTAGGTAGGTGCGCACATTGACGTGTGATGCAGTCATTGTTGGCCCAGCCACCGTTGAGGACCGAGCTTGCAGTTGAGCCGAAGTGTTCAGCCACCTGCCGTGTTTGTTGTTTCTCGATATGGCTCACCGTCACTTCGTTATGGCCTCTTGTAATAACCACCCCAGGTGTTAAATGCGGCGTAAGAAACTTGATTCTCGTAACTTCCAATGTGAAAAATTCTGTCCTTCACCGTATACCCTCCTTCCCCTTTTCCATGAGCTGCATTCTGGGTTTACAAGCTCAGGTCATGGCGAGTTCTAGGCCCTCGTCGGTACGCTGTCCAGCCGCCTTGTCTCATCAGGTTGGCTGTCATTCTCGTATGTCCTCCTTCATGGTGTAGTGGACTCGTAAGCTTTCGACCTGGTGGGCTGCCTCTCTTGTGACCGCAGTCCCGTTCGGATAATGCTCTTTTCCATGATTCTATCCTGCCAGTCTTCGATCAGCTGAGGTTGATAATGAACTCTCCCAGACTCTGGGCACAAGAACTCTCTCCCAACGTCCTGAGAATGCCAGTGCAAATCACGTAATCTCTACATTAGATTAAGAGATTTCTTTATCCCAAAGGATAGGTCCCTTTTGCCCATTTCCAACACAAATGATGTTGGGATCCCCTAGACCATTGTCCACATACTCGACTCCCACACGTGTCCAAATGAACATTGAACAAGAGAAACCCCTAATCTTGCAACCCAGTAACTTCTAGATCAGTATACGAGGTCGTTTTCCCGTTTCCTTTGTGTCATTTCTGCGCAGTTGGCACGTCTCCCAGCTATTTCATAGCTCATGCCCAACGTCGAGCTCTCCCCAAGCTTCTCCCCAATTGGCCTCCACATGATCCAAACGTTCTATTCACATAATGCATATACAATTATGAAAGAAAACCAATCAGAAATATCACGTCCAAAGGAACATGAATTGACAATGTTGACCTCAGTTGAATTTTTCTGTTCCGGATGTTCTCCTCGATCCCTCATCCTAGACCACCAACATTCCCATCTGGTCGAGGTGATGCCTCGGTTGAAGAACAAGCGAGGCACAAAAAGGAACATGATGCAATAGGAAGGATGAATAACTCTCGATGATAATCTAGCTCATTCCCGTGTGTAGGTTGTGGGAGATAGAACCGATTCGATACATAACTCTTTTGTATGTTGTTGGCGAACACTTGAAAATGACTCTACACATCCAGACAGGCCCCCCTTCGGTTTTTACTTCTCACTTGCACGTGGCTAAGGTTCCTTTCTAGAGATGCTCAGGATCTTATGGCTCAAATTGAACAAGCAAGTGGTGGGAATCATTCTTGATCAGGGCAGACCGGCCAAACAAGAAGGGTTCTGTTCATAACAACGCTGTGAATACCTTCAAGATCAACGCCACTCCGTCTGTCTATTCCTAGCATGGCTGAAGACGTTATGAGGGCTGGTGGCTATGATTAGTACCATCTTTCAACTTTCTGCGTGGTCAAGCGGGTGTGAATTCATCGATGTCATTGATTCAAATCTGTAAGGCTAAAAACTAACTTTCCTACTCCCATTCGCCTCATTGGTGTATAGTGCAGGAAGGACAATGCATTTAAAAACGTAAAAAGCAAAACAAAAAACCACAAACCCCTTCATTTATCCTCCATCGTCGCATCCATTAAGGCTAGGCGCAACCTCAGACATCGTCAAAGACTCAAGTCTGAAGAAGGAATGCCTACTGTCTCCTGGGTATTTCGCGCATCGTCATGTGTCGATATCTGGTGCATATCAAATCGTTCCATCATCGTCCTCACTCTTTGGATCCCTTTCAAGCGCGTGAATTCATGATCGTAGATCATTCCTCGACCAAGAGCATGGCAGACTCAGTGAGACAGCCAATTCCCGTCAATTCAAGCCAAATCCTCAGCACCTCCCCCCAAATTGTCTGGTTAACTGGGCCATATCTTCAAACGAGGGCCCCCTCAGCTCAATTGAGTCTCAGGCATGATTGCACATCTTAAAGAAGGGCAAACAAGGCTCCAGCGGCAACACCTGCGGCAGCATGCTTGGGGATAGCAATGGCAGCAGCGAAGCCGCCCTTGTCGGATGTAGCAGACGCAGCAGCTTGAGTGGTCTGGGTGGCGGACTGGGAAGCAGTCGAGGAGGCGGAAGTGGTTGTAGACGAGCTGCCCGAATCGGAGGAGGTGGGAGGGCTGTTGGAGGCGCACAAGCTTCCAATATCATCCTTGCAAGATTGTTGGCCATCCTGGTTGTTTTCATACTGCTTGTAGCACTGAGCGAGAAGAGTGTCGCAGATGAAGGTTGGCATTGTCTGGGTGTAGTACTCAAGACCAGGAGCGGAGTTGTTGGCAGAGCATGCGCAATCGTAGACCAAAGTAGTCTGGCAAAGACAGTGTTAGATTGACAATAATTTTTCGCAGATTGGACGTGTACCACTGTAGTAATACACGTATAGGGCCAGGAAGAACACGTACGTAGTCACAGTCATTCTTTGAGGTACGACCAGAGCACAACGACTTGCAAGTATTGCCCTGGGCAGTGCACCAGCTCGCTTCACGATCGTTACGTTAGCTATCGGCTCCAGAAGAACTGCTTGGGGTCATATTGATCTGCTCACCTCGGGTGCTGTCATCGACAGAGCTGGGGACGATGGTCATGTTAAGAGAGCTGGTGTAGTTGGCTGCGTTGGCAGCGACTGCGAAAGCAGCAACTAGAACAGCGTAGGATCGCATCTTGAGTGTGATTTTGTTTGTGTCGCGTTACTCGCAAATGGAGACGAAGTGCTGATTGAGATGCTGGGGAAAAAACGAGGGCGCAATGCTCAACAAAGTCGTGCAAGGGCAGGCCAAGTGATACTCGGGTGATGATGCTGTGTAAAGGCTTCTTCTGCTTCTTGCTCAATGTCTCGATAAGTTATGCGGACAACTTGTCTGGTGCACTGGCAGTTGTTGTGGAGGAGGGAAGAGGCGGAGAGGAAAAGAAGAGAAGCTTGGACGAATAACCGGGCAGGAAGGTACCTATGTAAGGTCGGTGGGTGGAGGAAGGAAGTGGAAGATAGAGGGAGGGGGCAACAAGCAACGGGGAAGGCAAAACAAAAGCTAAGGTAGGTACCTTAAAAGACGGGGAGGTGTGGTGCAGCTGGCCGGGCACTCAGTGCCTTGCAGAGGTGGCCGGACGGAACCATCTGCGTCAAAAAACCCAAGATTGATGGCTCCCCATCACTGACGGATTAAAACATCCTGCAGCACGTACGTATCGCCCTCGAGGGAGCTTGGCAGACATGGGCCCAGGCCACTTGTGGGTGCAGCTACCCGGCCGGAGGCGATATCATGTATCCCCGATACTTGTTGTTTACAGTTGGATGGGCAATTTATTTTCCTTGGCAGGTACCTACCCCGCTCTGAATAGCGTATGTGATACCTGACGAAGCGAGCGCGCTAGCGGCTAGACACTGACAGGCATGTACTGCGGCCCAGATAGAGAGGTACCTCGACCTACCCGACAAGGGCAGGCGAGCTCCTCTCTGCAAAATAACGACTCTGCCAATGGACCCAAGGTCGAGTGCTCATTTCTTAGCCCGTCGCACCTTGCTTAGTCCAGGCACTCCCGCGTCTCCCAGCAGCTGCCCAATGCCGAAAACGGGGGACTGCGAGGGCGAGCGTTGATCGCCGTTGCTGCTCCCGCTCAGGCACAGAATGGACTGACTTTCCGGACACGCTCCGTGGCTTGCAAGCAAAAGATTTCTACGGAGCTACGTAATCGGTGCATCATGTCATAATACGTATGCCCCAGCATCTGGCTTCGGCGTCTCGGCGTGGCGCTAATGCTTCTCTTCTGCACGCGGACGCATCACTGTGGAGACTAGCGACCACTACGACGATTCGATGCACCACTGGACACGGGGAACGACATCGTGTAGCTCCAGTGCCTGTCCTGGTGGTTACGGCACATTGGTTTCCCCATCAGACGATGTCCTTGTCGGCGTCTGCGATTGAAGGTGGATAATTGAGCCACGGCCGCGCAGGAGGCAGCGTGTCCTGATAATATTAATTACTGCGCTGTGATGTGCGTCAATCCTTGCCAGATGCGAAATTTGAATCATCTCCGGGAGCAACACCGCATTGCTGGTTCAATCCCTTGCCCGCCTGCGCCAAGAGCACACTTAACACGCTGGTGCCAGACCACAGATCCAGCCCAATCGCTGCTTTTGATAGGTCGGTCCCATCGTGGCCCGGACCGTCAAACTTCTGCTCAATGCCCGTGCTGCAGCTTATTGCTACCCTGGTCCCTCGCCTCTCATCGCCTCTTCCCTGTGATCCCACGTTACGTCTCCACCGCGAAGTCTTTCATTTCCTCTGCCCTCCTCCCGTCCACGTCGGCTCGATATCATCTGAAACAGTTGAAACATGGCTGCAACCCCATTTCTCCCAATTGGCGATAACTGTAAATTAAATTGCTCCGCGAATGCGCGTCCCAATTCAGGCTTTTCTGCCGCATATCAAACCATGCCTCATTAGCGGTGGGCAGAGTCGTCAATAGCCCGGCTTGAATTGAGGTGGTTAGCAAGCCGCTGACCAACCATCGAATTATGGCCACGGATCGATAATTGCCTCGGATTTAGAGAACCAGCGGTCTTCCGCATCATGTGCCCGCTGTGGAATTCATGGGTTTTCTGCATGGGTATTTCCTGATTCACCAGTCGTATCTCCCCCACCTCGCCCGCATCCCAACCACTCGCCCCGAAAATTAATGGATCATGGTGGCTCGATCACGATCTGCACTGTCCACCAAGCAACGAAAGCCAAGTCGGCTCTGGCATATCAAACAGCGGTAATATCTAAATCTCGTCCTGCATCTGCACGTTTGTGACACCCCACATCGGCAGTAAGAGCAAAATTACTCAATTGAAGGGACCTTGTGCTTGAGGATGCAGAGGTCCCGAAATTTCATCAATGCGAAACCTCAAGTGATTGTGTTTGCTCCAGAACGTGAAAGGTCACACATATGCTTACGCTAGATGAGTGTGAAACACCTCAGATAGACCCGCAGGATAATAGATTGTCACAGTGGTGGCACAACACAAGATGTGGAATGAGTAGCCATTCGATTGCGCACGTCTCACGCAGTTCTTCATCGTAACACGGCGTGAGGTATGTCGTACTACATCGCTACAGGGTAGGCACGGATGCTGTGAGATTTGAGGACTCAGAGTAATGTCCACATGCACAGCTTCTGGAATGTGTTTTCAGAAGAAATTGCCGCTGTCGGTCATATACTGGGGAATTTGCGTTGCCGTGGGTCCATGAATTCTAGAATGACTCTGTGTTTGTTTGCAGGTTCGTCGCTTTCAACGCTCTTGTCTAACCCTTGAGCTTACACCAATCGATACGAGAAACAGAACACATGGTGGTGTGAACTGTCTTACATAAATGCCCTCCAATGGCCGACGCATGCAACCAGAGCACAAACAAAAGAAGTGTTCTCGTGCCCTATATTACGGCAGAGACTTTCTTGCCCGCCCATTCAATTGATGGGCCTAAAAACATGTGTTAGCTGAAACCGATGATATCTAGGCAACCGACTGACACAAAACATGGATGGCACACCAAAGCTCTTTTCACGCAAGTCAGGGACCTCAATTCCTTCACAATAATACTAAACCCAATAATAAGTCAATTATAGATTGTTCTACAATATCTAGTTTGATATTGTGTTTATTACTGGTTATTTGTCTTGTGTTGAAATTCAACGCTGGAGGTTCTGGGTGTTCCAGTCGCTTGCTAGGGTAGGTAGGTCAAAGAGGAGGCTTCGATAAAACAAGCTTCACCTGACAGAGACCAGTTGGAGACGGATATTGTTAGCACGGTAATAATCTTTATTGATCGCCGGGAGTTTGAAACAACTCAAACATCCCTTTTCCCAAGCAAACCCATAGCTTTCCACAAGTCATAGAAGTATGGTTGAAATAGCATCTCATCATGGCCTCATAGTCTTCCTCCACTTCCGTTGAAAGAGGAAAGTCTAACAGTGATAACATAAGAAAATAAAGCATCCAATAACCACTAATCCAGTTAGAACCCTCTTGTTTTTCTCCTCCGCCTCCTCTATATTTTATGGGCACGTATATAGGATACGGCAAATTAGTCGGAACCATTGGTCCCGTTCTTGGCTCCAGCCACAGCCTTCTCCACGGCCTGGAGGGCATCTCTCTTGAGATCCTCAGCGTCCTCAACACCGCAGCTGACACGGACCAGGTCGTCAAAGACGCCGACGGCCTCTCTCTGGTCCCGGGGGATACCGGCATGCGTCATGCTGCTGGGGAGCTCGACGAGGGACTCGATGCCTCCCAGGGACTCCGCGAGAGTGAAGATCTTGGTAAAGCGGCAGAAGCGCTCAGCAGCGTCGTGCCCACCGCGGATGCGGAAGGACAACATGCCGCCTCCCATGCCGTCACGGTGCTGCTTGCGAGCAATGTGGCGGTGGGGATGGGAGTCCAGCCCCGGGTAGTTGACGGCGATGACATGTGGCGAGGCCTCGAGGGCGGCGGCAACGGCAGTAGCATTGCTGGTGGCCTCGCGAGCTCGCAGATGGAGCGTCTTCAGGCCACGGTGGGCCAGCCAGGAATCGAAGGCAGAGGGGACAGCGCCAATGGCGTTCTGGAGGAAGCTGAGACGCTCCTTGAGCTCGGGGGAGTTGAAGGCGGCAACGCCCATCACCACGTCGCTGTGGCCATTGATATACTTTGTGACGCTGTGGACGACGATATCGGCGCCAAAGTCGAGAGGGTTTTGGACGTAGGGGGACAGGAAGGTGTTGTCGACAACGACAAGGACGCCGTGGCGGTGGGCCACCGAGACGATGGCACGGATGTCGACGAGACGCAGCGTGGGGTTGCTGGGGGTCTCGATCCAGATCAGGCGGGTTTGTTCATTGATGTGCTCACTGACGTCGACCTCGATCTCGGGTGTGAATGTGACCCTGACACCGTGGGCCTTTGCGACCTGGGTGAAGTAACGGTGGGTGCCGCCATACACATCCGATACTGAGATGACATGGGAGCCGGCAGCGAGGCTCTGTAAGATGGTGGCCGTGGTAGCACTGCCGCTGGAAAAAGCTAGGGCATAACGGGCGTGCTCGAGGGCTGCAACAGCAGTCTCGAAGTTATCGCGGTTTGGGTTGCTCGAACGGGAGTATTCGTAGGCACCGACAGGACGACCAACAGCAGTCTGGGCGAAGGTGGTGGAAAGAGAGATGGGCTCGATGACAGCGCCGGTGGTAGGGTCCAGGGGAGCGCCGGCGTGAACTGCTAGAGTGCCGAATCCGTGCTCTGGTGATGCCGGACGGGGCGGCGTCTCGACCACCAGGCTGTCGACCACCGAAGGCGACATTTTGTAATTGAGATGGTAGAAAGGAATATATTAAGATTGTGTGATGCTGGACTGACTTTTCTTCTTCGCGCTAGAAGAAAAGAAGCAGACTTATAAGCTAGGCGGATGGAGGAAGGGAGGGAACAAGTTGCCGCTCAGACTCAGACGTAATAGCGGAGTAAATATACGTCCTCGAGTCACGCCCGCTGCAGCGCAGGCAGGCTATCGGGGACCGGTGAGCCGCCTTACAAATACAATATCAAGCAGGGAATCTCGTCAATTGCGGCAGCACGAAACTTGTCGTGCGAAAATTTCCTTGCGACCCCACGTTTGCTGCTTTTCTCAGGGCGCGTGAAGCGCAATGCTTTGCTGGGTTCCGGAGTAGACTGGTGCTTGGCCTGGAGGATTACTCCGAAGTGGAACTGTCGCCAAACTGTTTATGGCAGGAGTTGCTCGGGCGGGATGGAGGAAGAGAAACGGTATATATTAAGGAGGGGTTGTTACAATGTCTTCCCGTCGCGGCAGACAAGAGATATGGAGAGAGAGAAAATTATTGTTCGAAAGCTGGAGAGAAGAGACTACTACAACAGCTGAGAGACGATGGCTCCGGGCTTATAAAGTATAACAAAGAGACCCCATCTCCGTCCACAACACTGTGGGACTGAGGTTGCCGGTGGCCGTGTGAGACGGTCACCATCTAGCTCAACTTTAAAAATGGTGTCATTGTATTGCGTGCTTCATGCCGTGCGCCTGAGCCTCTGGGAAGCCTTCCGATCGTCTGCCCTGACATGGATGGCCGAAAATCCAGATACACGAATGATGTGATAGGGAAAATCCGGATGAGGGTGTTCGGAGTAGACCCCTCTTACCAATTAGTCACAGCCCAAAGCAGCGCATCTACGCCGAGCATATTGGCCACTGACCCTGCAACTGCTGAGAAACTGACATTCGATACGGGATGGTGTAAGCAGAATGCGATTCTTCTGGAATGCAAAAGGTCTCAGCTGCAATTGCGTCACCGAGGCGGAAATCCTCAGTATAACCGCCCGATAGGCTATCGCTGGTTGAGTACGTACATGCTACGTAGTGATCACCTGCACTACCCTTTTTTACACACACGGATCTCAGCCGTACCTGGAAACGGTGATCCTCTGCGTTGGTTCCTGGGGTACATGGTTGCACACCTGCTTAGCTGAGCACATACTGTATCTGAGATGAATTGTCGCTGGTTGGTAAGCCGACGTCGCAGATGCAAAGGGAGACAGCCATTACCTATTGGAAGACAACTCGCGATCTTGTTAACTGCCATATTGGTTATGAGCCAAGTGGCGGTCAAATTTCTTCGACAGTTGTTGCATATCTAAACTTATCACATCATCATTGTCTGCGTCTACTGGCTCGCTTGGCTGTCACATCTTAAACACCAATCAATGACGCTACCAGCCAAGGAAAACCATACTAAATAGGTTGTCTTGCTGCTGGTAGATGTTCCGGCCAGTTCTCGGCGGTGAGTCATGATAAGGGACAATTTGGCTTGTTCTGTGCGTTGCAATGCATTTCACCAAGATAACAGAGAAGATACAAAGACCCTGTCTGAGAATGACCGCTGTTGCATGGTGCAACCCTTCGTATCATCAGTTCGGGGCGGGATTCCGGACCCAAACCGACTGTACGAATGCCGACTAGTGCCTGGCAGGAGGCCATTGTACCGATTAGTCGTGGATGAACCACGTGCGGCGTGATCCTTTCAGAAGTCCCTGCTCGATAGAGGAAATTTGCATTATTTGTTCACAGCCACAGGGTAGGTCGGGCCTTGGCGATTAGCTCATCATGCGTGGACTGATTGAGTGTGGTGAATTGCGCCATCCTGGTCATTTGCCCCTGTGAGAATTTGGTCTGGAATCACGGAGTGAAATTAACCGCAGTGTGACACAGAATGGGTTCAGTGCCTGAACCCAAGTTTTTTATGAAATTACGTGAGGCGGAAATGAGGCATGTTGGCTCCGTCGGCCTGAGCCACCCTAAAATCGATATGATGGCAGCTTGTGGCGCATGCGCCTGCCGCAGCTCAAATTACTAATCAACACACAACAGCTGCTGCCTACAAACATGCGGTGCAATGAGGCTGGGATGACAAGCCATTACCGCTTCTTTGGACCTGAAGCCTCCTCCAATCGCAGTCCTGAATCGGTTCCCCGACTTTTCTCGACGTGCACCTAAACTAGTCGTCCCCTAATTCACTTGCGTCGGTCAACCGACACATGCATGCTTAGAACTGCTACGACGAACCGAGCCAAGCAGGCACAGCACCCAAGATTGTTTGCTATCCAACTCGCAGCAAGGCAGCTCCCACCCCCAATGCTGCTAGAGCCTTGAGAGTAATTGTCGGATGCCTCCGCGGCCATGCTTTACGTCCAACCCGGAGTTACATCTGCACTGGTGGTCAATGCCTCGTCGAGGTGACATAGTTGACCCAACTTAAGACAAAGCACGACGCCATGCCACCTCGAAGATCACACAAGAAGTCTCGCGCCGGGTGCCGGAGGTGCAAAGTCCGCAAGATCAAGGTTGGTTGGCCCCGCTGCGGTGAAGATCAGTATCATGCCACTAACCAGCTCGGTTCGATTTGCAGTGCGATGAGGTTCACCCGAGATGCGGCAACTGCGTCAAGCACGGCGTTCCTTGCGACTTCGAGGCTCCCGAAGTCGCGGACGAATTGGCCCCCGTGGCGACCCCCGTCAGCGTCTCGACCGTCCCTTCAACTCCGATACCTATGCAGCCTCCGATTCCTGTAGCCGCCGGTCGATTATCACCAGGCCTCGAGCCTATCACACCCGCCTTACTTTCACAACCGACCAACTTAACACGGCCGAACACCTCGAACCAAGCAGATCGATTAATGGAACTGCGGCTCATGCACCAGTACACCAACGTTACGGCCAAGACACTCCTTAATAACTCCCCCGAAGTGGACGAAGTATGGCAGCGAGTCGTGCCCAACATGGCATTCGAAGGTAGGGTGTACCTCGCAGACGCCATTCTATCTGTGGCAGCTTTACATCTTCGATCCGAGAATCCGCAAGACAAGGCCCTGGTAAGGGCCTCGCACGCTTACACAGCCTCGACCTTGGCAGAGTACTGTGCCTCTTTAGAAAAGGGTATAAACGCAGAAAATGCCGAGGCCTTATTTCTTACAGCAACCCTAATAGCTTTCCAGTCGGTTGCTTCTCGAATATTTGCCAAGGACGATGGGGATGTTGACCCGGATGATCCGAGCTCTCGCTATGCACTGCCACTGCCGTGGTTTCATGCCTTCCAGGGCGTTAAGACTATTGTTGCAAGCTCCTGGTTATGGATTCGGAGCAGCTCCATTGTAAAAGCCGTCATTGACTCCCAACCAGGCCTTCAGTTGAATCTGAATCCATCAGGCGTGGGCTCGTTTTTCGGTCATCTGCTCGAGGGTCTAGATGAAGAACTTGCCACAGAGGATCCTCATATGATGCAAACCACGGCTCGTTCTTATACTCATGCTGTGTGTGTATTGAATTGGGCCCATCGCAGTACCTTCCCAGCCGCTTCTCTTAGTTTCCCATCCACCGTTGCACGACGGTACGTTGAGCTTGTGGAGGCAAAGCGACCGCGGGCCTTGGCCATCCTAGCTTGCTTTTTCGCATTACTGAAGCGTATGGACGATGTGTGGTGGCTCACAGACGTATCCCGCCGAGAAGTCATGGGCTTGGTTGGCTTGTTCGAGTCTGGCTCTAAATGGTGGCGTCACCTCGAGTGGCCCATCAGGATAGCCCTCTGGGATGGTACCACGATACCACCCGATATCTGGGGCCACGAGTTCGACGCAGCTGCACCGGCCGCGCCCCAGGGCTTCGTGAGCCATATCGAGCTGATGGCTGACTTGATGGGCCAGGCGCCAGAGCAGTTGGCCTCAGCCTTTAATCCCATAGGGGAGCCTCCTCCGCTCACGGCGGAGTCCCCTGACTAGCTGCCGCTCGCTGCTCGTCTCTTCCTACACATTTCCTTACACCGATACGATGGTCTTATGAGCCGAATTGAAATCTATATATATGTTATGAAATGATCGTTGACTGGATCTGAACAAGGCTGTATGCCCGCGCGATACAGCTCTGTTACTTTTTCTTACTTCTGTTTGAAATAGCGATATACACACAGAGCCTTCACTAGAAGTTGAATTTTGGGAGAATGATTGGGATGGCGCATTGAATGGGCGGTGCAACCACTGGTGGCTTGTCAATATCCTGCTACCTTTGGATGCCTGTTTTCATGTTGAGTACATAGAAGGAATGTTTAGCAACTTATATTTTTGGAGGTATTGGGTATCCCCCCCTCAAGCATTATTTACATGCACAATCAAAATAGTAGTAAATTATCTTTTCTTCTTTGGTGAAATATTGTATCATTTGAGACGCCTAAACTCCACGACGAGAACAGCAATACGTATAACCTATTTTACTGACGTATCCTCTTTGTGTCATCTTCCTCGATTTCATCTTCCTCAATGTCCTCGTCCCTGCTTCTCTTCAGACCCTTCATCTTTCTCGTCTGCAGCTCCTTGAGATCTTGCTTGCCGACGTGGACGCGGCCAAGCTTGTCACCCATCGAGTCAGTGGTGATGTTCTTCTTGGTCCTCTCCTCCAGCCCGCGGGCCTTCCTCATGGCCTCCTTGCGCGTGGCCTCATCGGGCTCCTTGAAGCGGCCGACGCGGAAGTCCATGCGGGGGCCCATCTCCTCGACCTCGACGCGGGGGAGCCGCTGCCCGCTGCGCTTGGTGCGGATGAGGTAGGTGCGCAGGTGGATGGCGGGCTTCGCGTCGCCCTCCCCCGCCGTCTCCTCGGCGGTGATGGAGACGATGTACTGCAGGCCCTCGACGTCGATCTTGTCCGAGGGCTGGCCCTTGAAGAAGTCGACGAAGAAGCTCTTGGCCTGGGTGAACTCGTTGGCGACGGGGCTCTCAAAGGCGGTCCCCGCGAAGAGGAGCATGGGCCGCA